CCCCCACCCAACACACACACACCAGTTCTCTCCCTATCCTATCCTTTTATTTTGTTTCCAATGGGGTGGTTTTACAGTTCAATGCACAGTCAAAGGGTGATATAAAATGACTTTCCAAAGAATTTTGTTTGAAGAGAAGAGGGGCTGTGCTGCGTTGGGAAAACAAGAGCATGGGGAGATAGAGACGAACGAAAAACAAAGAAAATAATAAATTAGTAATGAAAACATCTTTAAAATGATTGTTGGCTTTTTTATTTGCTCTGATGACCCTGACTGAAGCTGCACAAAATGAAGGTTTTATTCTGTAACAGACCTGAAGAAAAGCTTAAAAAGGACAATGCGTGTTCGTATTCTTATCCTAAATTTCTCTTAATTTTGTTCGTACGAAGAGTTCGTACGAACATGTCATGTCAGATTCAACAAACTCTTCTATCTTTAGGAAAAGTGTGTAAATCAGGAGCGTAAACTGATGAATGTGTATCCAGGTGCTCGTGCACGGGGAGAGGTTATTTACATAATATACCACCCCAAAAACACCATAWAAGGATATACRTTTYCTGCCCCACATACCAGGAAGTGTCCATTCATAAATGACATCGCAAAGAAAAAAAGAACTTTACGAGTTYAGAGATTGAAGTTCTGCCCTCGGAGATCTACAAAAAGAGAAAAATGTCATTTTTAGCAGCGTCAGCTGTGGAATTAAAGGATCTGCTTTAAAGCAGAGGAATGAAATGACGACTGCTGTTAATGTCGTGTCTCAAAACTTCAATTAACTTCATATTAATATCGTAGTGCTATACAACAAAATTAATAGCCAATTTATTTTAATTTAACCAATTTATGTTTTTAGTCTACATTATTACATTTAAAATTATAATTCTAATTCAAACAGAATAGCCTATTGTCAACATAATTATAGAGTGGGATTTATTTTCAACTCGAAATATCTTCAAACTAATGAAATAAAAAGTTATTAATGAAGAAAACCCGTCTGAATAACAGCAGACTGACTGCTCGTAAAACATAGACAGGTCTGGACCACACGTGAATTTTGTTTGTTTCTGAAGAAAATCTTAAAATATGAAAAATTCGGTGAATGCCACAAATTCTCTTAAACCACTCGTACGCACAACTTAAGAACAAATCTGTTTGTACGAATGGTTCTTGCATGAGGCCCAATGATTTAAAAGGGGGTGTTTACACACACACATGCACACACACACACACACACACACACACTGAATGCGCTGGAACAGAAGCAGAAGGAGGTTCTTAAAGAGACAGAGGCCAATTTCAAGGCGTTCAGAAGAGGAAATGATGAGACGATAAGTTTATTTTCTATTTATTTTTATAACAACATTTTAATAACAACTAAAGGTGACATAGATACTTTATTATGGTATAGTATTTAAATACT